CCTCTTAGATTTAGGTCTGTGATCCATTTCTAGTTAATTTTTGTATGTGGTATGACATGTGAAGTAAGCTAGCCCCCTTCACCATTCCATTTACTTATAAGTGCTGAATAACTTATCATAATTTAGAATGTTAAGACCCAGGAAGCTAAAATAATCAGATTTTTCTCACAGTACTGTACTATGGTCATTATTCTTATCCATGATCCTCAAGCAAATATTCAGCATTATTTTGGTATTATTTGTAATCTACTACATTTAGATTATTTGAAACATGACAATCAACGTGTGGTATAGAGACATGCATTTTACCAGAGCATCACATTTATCTGGTATGCCTTACTCTGACCATGCAGGATAAACAGGAATTTACTTGAAATACTTTTCAAAATTTATGAAAATCTGTGGGCAGAAAGACTATAATGCTGTCGTAATAGTTTTCTGTGTTGCATAACATATTACCACAGACTTAATGGCTTAAAACAACACACACTTATTACCTCACGATTTCCACAAGTCAACAGTCTGAGCTTGGCTTAGCAGAGACCTCTGCTCAGAGTATCACAGGCTACATAGGCTGCATTCAGGGTGTGACCCAGGCCTCCTGTCTCATCTGGAGATTGACTAGTGAGAGATCCATTCCAAGCTCACTCAGGGCATTGGCAGAATTTATTTCCTTGTGACTGTAAGACCAAGGTCTGACTTCTTACTGGTTGTCAATCTTCAGTTCCTAGAGGCCACCTGCAATTTCTTGACAGGTGACTCTCTCCATAGGCCCTCTCACAGCATGGCAGCTTGCTTCTTCAAAATCACCAAGGGAGAGAGTGAGTCTGCTAGTAAGATGGAGTCTGATGTAACAATCACGGGAGTGACATCTATTACCTTTCCGTATTCTACTGATTAAAAGCAAGTCACATAACCCACGCACACTTCAAGGGGAGGGGATTACAAAAGGCATGGGCAACAGGAGGCAGAGATCATTGGCAGCCACCTTAATGTCTACCTACCACAGTCATGGAATGGTCGTGCTCTGATTTCTAATCACTGTCAAACCCCCAGCTTCACAGGCCAATGGTTCCCAACATAGATGCTTTGGAGAGTCTACAGATGCCCCAAATCTAGAAAAATCTCAAACAAAAGATTAAAAACAGCTAAACATACAAACTTAAAAACATTATTTTTTATTTTTTTAAAAAAACGTTATTATAGAGAATTTCAAACACACACAAAAGTAGAATATGATGAACCTTCATGTGTTGGTCACTCATACCTAACAGCCACCAACCCGTGGCCAGTCTTGCCCCATGCTCGCCCCCATCTACTCTGTGCTCCTGAATGGTTTGAAATGAAATCCCAGACTTCCTGTCATTTTATCCATAAATATTTCTGTATATATATTTGGTTTTATTAAACATAGCCACTATGCAATTTTCTTACCTTAAAAATTAATAGTAATTCTTTAATATCATCAAATATTCAGCCTTCCAATTTCCAATTTTCTTATTATTGTCATCACTTACTTACAGCTTGTTTGACCCCAAATCTGTAGTGTTCATACAATAGGTTGATATGTCTTTTAAATCTTTTTCAGTCCACAGGTCTTCCTTTCACTGTCTTTCTCTCTTTTTTTCTTGAAGTTTATTTGTTGATGAGACAAGGAGAGCAGGTTCTTTTTTTTTTTTGATCCTGTAGAGTTTCCCACAGTCTGGAAACTGCTGACACATTACAATTTTTAAAAGTGAGCTTACTGCAAAATCAACTTTGCAAATACTCTTCAGATTTACTAAACGGCCTTTTTCTCAGTAATTATATCATCTTTCTTTACTTCTTTGCTTCCTGAATTCATTTATCTTGATCACCTCAGAATCAATAACAAAAAGTTCTGTAAAACTGCCATCTGCTTTCCCCTGGGGTTTATATCTTAAAACAAATTTTCCTCAATTGAATTCAAATTGAATAAGAGCATTGAAACCAAGGATCCCTCATTAGACAGTTTGTTATTTCAAAGCATTTTCTATTTACTGTGCCTTATTTAGAATACAGCATAATCCTACGAAGGCAATTCTGTTTGTTCAAAATAGTGTATAATTGGAAATAATTGCAATTCCCAATCTCACATAAAGTCTCTCAATTTTTTTATTAGAGAAATTTAATTTATTAGAAACATTGTACCATCTGAATCTATTAATATAACATTTCTTTATGTTTCAAATTAATGAAGTTGCATTACTTCAAGAAATAATCACCATTTTAAATCTAAGTCTTAAAGATCATTCAACAGAAGTTTGCATTGACTTCATTCTTTTAAAAAAAACCCTATTTTTATAGCATCAATATAATACATAAATATACAAGTATTTTTAAAAGTCAGTAGGACTCTTAGACTTATAAAGAAAACCAGAAATTTCCTTTCCTGCCTGCCCAACCCTGATTCTTGCTCCCCGTAGGCACTCAACACTTGACAATCAATTTCCCAAAATGTTTTTGACATCTCTCATTCATTGCCATTGCCTTTCTTGTTTTCTCTGCCCTGGGGGCATTATATCTTTTTTAATTCTTTTGCAGTAATTCTTGTGGGGTTTTGGGAGAAAGTGGAGATAAATGTGTATGTTCAATTCACCATATTTAACTGGTAGTCCTCATGTTCCTTTTTTAAGAACACTATTGTGCCCACATGTCGCTTTCCTTCTCAGTGCAAGGATAAAATGTCTATATATGTTGCTTGTAACCATGGAGAAGAGGCGACGGGTGCTTAGGATGAGAGCACTTTGATATAAGAAACTTTCTCCTATCATCCATTTTTGGATCCTCTTTTTGGATTTTCAGTTTCTAGTTCCTTTGTTGAGAGTCCAGAAAAGTGGAAAAGTTGGCAAAGTATATGGAATTTTCAACAAATGTAACAGGCATCTTCCAGACTAATTAGGATGGGTATATAAGTGAGCTGCAAACCCTTCCTCCAAACAGTTAAAGACAATACTTTTGTAACTTTCTTCATCCACCAAATTGTTGGAACTATACCTCCCAATTGTCCCCTCTGACTTGAAGGGGATAGGTCTTTGGCCTGGCTCAGCAATAGTGTCGTCCTGCAGTTTTTAGTGCAGTTTCCTGGCTCTCAGGGAGTTGTGATGGAGTGTGTCCCTCATCCTCATGGAACAGCACTTCCCAGAGCACCATATGCCACTGAGAGTGTGTCTGTTGTGGCGCTTTCACTTTTGACCTTTCTCCCTAGGAAGGCCTGTAGTGTTGGTTGCTCGCCTCCCACCCTGAGCAACCTACGTGCAACATTTGTACCATGACTCTCCTCCCTTTGGGGCATGTGTCACAAAGAGGTTAGGGAGTGACCTTGTGCAGTGGTATGCTGGTAAGTGTTTAACGCCTGACTGTCCGGGGGAAATACACCTGATTTGTAGCATTTGCCAATTTCTGTTGCATAAACACTCCTACCATGGTTGACTTCAGGCTACCAACATGACTTGGAGTTGGGAAGAAAAGTGTCCAACTGTCTCTTTGAGAATCACGAGCAGACTCCAGCACATCACTGCCTTTGGGAATAAGATTCAGGGTTTTCATTCCAGACTGCCAGACTCAAGGACAAAGTCATTTGTCTTTTCCATTGAGCTCCTCAGTTACTCCTGCCTTGATGTTCCTGCTGGGCTAACTCTGCCAGCTTAGACATCTAGACTCTACTCTGGATCAACAGAATTCCCTAGTCTCTGTTTTTGTCTTTCCTGTTGGCTAACAATGTGTGTTCTGGTTCGATCTTAATTTTGTTATGTTTTTGCTCTGCTTTGATGTCTTCAGAAGAACCTCTCTCTCTCTTTATTTATTTATTTATTTTTGGTGGCTGGCCAGTACAGGGATTGAACCCTGGACCTTGGTGTTGTCAACACCACGCTCTAACCAACTGAGCAACCAGCCAGCGAAGAACCTCTTTTTAAAATCAACTTCATGCACTTATATGAAACTGATGGCATGTAGAGATTGTGTCTTATCCAGGTAAAATTCTTTTTTTTTTTATTTTAATTTATTTTTCTTTTCATTGTACATGTTTATGTACAATGTTTATTAAATAACAGTTTGTTGTTCCAATATATGCATGTATTGTATAATGATCTGATCAGAAGTTAGCTCATCTCTCACCTAAACATTTATCATTTCTTGGTGGTTATACCGTTCAAGATCCTCTTTTCTGACTATCTTGAAATATACAATACAATTTTATTAGCTATTGTCACCCTAGGGCATCAGAACTTATTCTTCCTATCTAACTGTAATTGTAATTTTGTACCGGTCTACCAACCTTTCTCTGGCACCGCTCCCCCCTCCCCTTCCCTGACTCTGGTAACCACTGTTCTACTCTGTTTCTGTCTTTTTTTCTCTCTTCAATATATTTTTCATAATTGATCCATGATAATTGTATATACTTATGGAGTACAATATGATCTTTGGGTACATTCATGCTGTGTGCAATGACCATATCATGGTGCTTAGTAGGTCCATCACCTCAAACATTTGTCACTTCTTTGTGTGAGGAACATTCAACATCATCTCAACTAGCTATTCAAAGATACACAGTACTTTGCTGTTAACTGTAGTCTCTCTATATTATTCAAGATTCCTAGGTCCTATTATTTCTATCTCTCTAATATTTTGTATTCAGTGACCACCCACTCCCGATACCACCTCCCCCTTCCCTCTACCAGTCTCTAGTATCCACTGTTCTACTTTTTACTTCTATGAGATCAACTTTCTTAGCTTCCATATATAAGTGAGGACATGCGGTGTTTCTCTTTCTGTGCCTGGCTTATTTCACTTAACATTATTTTCTCCAAGTCCATCCATGTTGCAGCAAATGGCAGAATTTCATTCTTTTTTTATGGCTGAGTAGTATTCCATTGTGTATATGTTGTCCAGGTAAATTTCCTTACTGCACTGTGCTGATGGATGGTAACTGGGATTCCTTATTCTGCAGTTCTGTTAACAGTGTTTTCTTTCTTCCACAGTTGACAGGCCTGTCCGAGTATATGCAGATGGAATATTTGACCTCTTCCACTCAGGTCACGCAAGGGCACTTATGCAAGCAAAAACGCTGTTTCCCAATAGCTACTTGTTGGTAGGAGGTAAGAAGTGCATTTTCTCTGTGTCTAGAAAACTTCTTTATAATATGCTTCCTGAAAAGGGCTGCTTTCAGAATTCTATCAGTAAAATCTGACATTGTTAAATGAAATGGCTTTCATTTCATCCCATACCGACTCACTTGTTCACTGCCTAAAGTTTAAAATGACGTTTGAAAACCTATAGGGGAAATTACATTATAGGATTGTGTACGACTGATCCTCAGAGAGAGACAAATTAATGATACCACCAAGGGTAACTACTTCATGTTTTCCATTAATACCTTTCTCACTGTGATTGAAGCATGATCCAATTTATGCTTCTAAAATTTTCTGAAGGGTTAGGAGAAAAGCAATATTATTCTGATTTCAAATCTCAGAGAACCGAGGGGGTTCAGGATGATTAAGGGCAAACAAGGTCATTGCCTATTTCCTATATGTGACCCACAGCACTTAGGATGATGTTGCGCTAACAGTAGTGGCTTATAACAGCTCTAATCAGTTGAATTTATGCACAGTGTGTAAAAGAAATGGAGATTTATGTACCCAGGTAATCGTGATTCGCAGAGAAGGGACTGATGTAACTTCCTAAGCTTGTGGAAAGAGAAGGATAGTTAGATGTGGATTGAAATGTTCCTCCTCCAGAAGGCCTACCTATTTCGATTTGGGTAAAAGTGATAGTACCTGAATAGGGAGACCTGCATCTCACTTCTGTAGCTTCTGGAAGGAGCATATCCATTCAATGATCTGCTGTTGTGGCATTATATGAACTAGGCACCATCAACTCTTAGACCTCTACTGTGAGGAAAAAAAGTCCTATGTACCTGTTTTTTTCAAGTATTTTGTTATCTTCTGCAAGTTTAAAATTACTTTTTGGATATTTAAGAGGAACCCTTAAACAGATTTTGCCCAGGGAGGTGATCACGTGGCTACTGAGTGGAGTTCTTTCCAGAAGGAAGAGATGGTGAAAGGCAAATCATGCAGAGGGAACCCAAAGCAGGCAGGGAGCCTGACCTTTGCTCATTTCCCTTTATCCTGTGTGGAAAACCATTTCCTGAGTGAGCATTATGACCTGGAGTCTGGTCCTAGGCTACTGGGGCCCTGGGGAGACCTCTGCAGTATTATGGCTTTGGTCATTTTGGCAACATGAGTTTGGAGGGGGTTAAGTGTGGGTCACCATTAACTTGGGAGAGTGTGATGCTGATAACCCCAAGGTCAAGGGTTCAGATCCCCTTACTGGCAAGCTGGCAACAACAAAAAAATCTTCAGAGAGAAAAAATGATATAGGTCAGAAACTTGGATCTACATAAAGAAAAGAACATCAGAGAATGAATTAATAAAGGCAAAATTAAAACTTTTATTCTTAATTGATATAACAGATAACAGTTTGTTCAAAATAATAATAGCAACAATGTATTCAATTATATGTGTGCATGTGTGTATATGCTTAAATGTAAGTGAAATAAACGACAGCAATTATGCAAGAGATGGGAGGGAAGAATTAGTAATATTTTGTTATTATAAGTTACTTACACTACCTGTGAAGCAGTACAGTGTTATTTAAAAATGGACTTGGATTAGTTTAAAATGTATGTTGCAAACTCTACTGCGACTAGTAAAAAAAGGAAAAAAGTATAATTGATGTGCTAAAGGAGAGAAAATGGAAGCCTAGTGCTTCTCAGGGTCCCCCCTCCCCCATTTAGGTAAGACAGGATGGCTAAAGCGGGTTACAGTCAGATGTTTTTCTTCCCTCCCAGATGGGTTAGGCTCCAATAAAATTCCAGAAGGTTAGGCTCTAGAAAAATAGTTTCTCCCATGAGCAGGCCCTGTTAAGAAGAAGAGAATGCTCTGGCATATTTCCCCAGAAGCATGAGGGGATTTTTCTCCCATATTTACTCTGAGGACTTAAGTCTGGCTCTTGGAGGTAAAACTCACAACAGTGCAAGGGGTCCTCCTATGACTATGTCCCCTTGGAGTTTTTAACTCTCAGACTTGTCCACACTGAACCCCCAGCAATTTGTCAGTTTAAATGTTCCTACCCCATTCCCGTGGAGGTTTCTGCTTGCAGGTTTCTGTTCCAGTAAGTTGCCATTCTCTTTATTTGCTTGTCCATCTCTCCAATTTTGGGGGGCAGAGGTTTGCCCTGTGACCTCACTTCTCTGATGGATCTAAGAAGAGTTGTTGATTTTTCAGTTTTTTTCAGCTTTTTACTTGTTGTTAGGATGTAGTGGTGAGGTCTAAGCTCCTTATGTGCCAGACCAGAAACCAGAAGTTTTATATTGATATTTTACAACAAAATTGTTACCCCATCACTTAAATATACCCCATGGCATCTAAATATCATAATGTTTTGAAATGTACATCATACATTTACAAAATATATAATAAGCTCTTTTTTAAACTTTCAAATATTTTACAGATTTTCTTCTTTCTCCTCAAACTTGTATTTTCATTCTGCTTCTCTCACATAATTTTTTCTAATGTGAAATATTTTAATGCTTGCAAATCTTTTAGTAATCACTCTATCATACTTCTGTGAAACAAAAATATGTATATAAATTATTATACAACTAACCAAAGCACCACATTATACATTTTGATAAATGATTATTAAACATACACATAAATTTGATTAGCAATGTATGTCTTAATAAAATGAATGGGATTTCCTTATTTGTAGATGTACCTGTGGATGAATGTAACTTATTGCTAGAATGAGGCAGGATTTACATCAATTTTATTTCTATTTTTCCTTGTTGTAAGTGCTTAAATATTTTGTTCACACAAATTTTCAGATGGGAGTGGAATTTGTTATAGTGATGCCTCTCAATTCTTTGAACTTCTAAGTTATTTGCCCAAAATCGCAAAAATAATTTATTATTATTGCCATCAAAAGTAATTTTGATGGTCTATTGAGTGACAATTTGTTGATCCTCCATCAAATTTGTTGCAAGTAATGTATTACAAATGACCTGACCTGCAAAAGGATTTGCTGCCAAGCTATTAGAATCATTTGCTTTTTCCCTTTCTGGGAATTATAACAAAAAGCTATATCAAGACTTATCAAATAACTCTTAATTATAACCCTTACTATTTTACTTGAAAGCAACTTATTCAACCAGATATAGTCAGAAAGAGTTGGAGAAATGGAAACACTGGTAATTTCACTGCACCACTGCCGTTCCAATAATTTTTGATAAAATGCCTTTATCATTTGCTTAAAACTTTTTTTTTTTTTAAATAAAACCTTGGGGCTGCAATTTTAGCTTACTAAATTTGCAGAAGACACCATCTAACCTAATTAGCAAAACCAATCCTCATTGTCAAACCTGCTAAAAAACCTAGCGTTGGGCTGGGTCACAGACCCTTCACACTCGTCCTGTGCAGATTGTGAGCTAGGTAGCTGGAAAAAGATTCTGGGAGCTGTTGGCAAGGTTGACATGCTTTATTTGGACGTGAGCTCAGCCCCCCAGCCCAGCGGATCAGAGCCATTGTCTTTTATATTAGAGTCAGATAGCCAAGGAACACATGTGTGCACACGTGCAGTTATACCACTCTTACATAACATATTTACAACAGACATGCTGAGTCATGCTCAGCCAGATATGAGGTGAGGGAGCTTGATCATTCTGTCTCCAATTTCCTCACACCTAGAAACCAAGGAAGTGTCTTTTCAATTCAAATGTATTAATGTATTTCCAGAAGCTTTATAAAAAGCACTGAGAAATAAATTATAGAATGGATTGTATAACATAGAATCAGTCAAGATTAAGATGGTACAGATCTCAGTTACAAACAAAATGATAAATCAGTGTATGTAATTTGTAGACCTGAAATGTAATGTATAGATAAAATTATATGATATTTATAGGGAGAGGAGTATGATTTTTAAAAGGCACGTTATTTCTTTTCTAAATATTGGTGTGTGTGTGTGTATCAAATTCTAGTGTTTGGCTTTTTGGAATAATTAAGTGAAATCAAACATGAAAATCAAAAATAATTATCTTTATTAGACCCATAGCTAAACATTTCATATGTATTTAAAGATAGAAAGGGGTATATACTCATAAAAAGTAGTTGGTCTGGAATAGATAATTTTATTTTTTGTTATGAGGAAGTAGAAAATAAACATTTTAGAAGATGAAATAGGATAAGGATTATTTGTAAATAGAATAAATATTTTATGGTGTGTATTGAAAAAATAAGATTTAACTTCCATTTTAAATAGTACATATGAAGTCTGAAAAAAAAAAAAATCACATAAATCTTTTACCCACGCATTTATTCCAATGTATCTTGAAAAAATTGATAATTTCAGAAAAAATTCCAGTAACATTTCTAAGCAGCAGCATACTAGCCTATACAGCTTTGGCTTATTGAAGTAATGTTGAAGTGAATAGCTGGGAAAAATATGCTTACTCTTAACTACAAGAGAAAAACCATTTTTAGGACTCAATATGAGCGTTGAGAATAGCTGGAAAAATGCTTACACTTAACTTCGTGAGAAAGCCATTTTTAGCATTCAATATTTCTTCCCAAGGCTCCTTTTGCTTTGAATTCCTGGGCCTTATCTGTCAAGATCCATGTGTTCTTTGGCAATAGTTGGGAGAAGAGGAGGCAAAGTTGTTAAGCAAAAATTTGCATTTTTCTCCACTCTGCCATATTTAGTTTCTAACACCACGTTTCACCTGTAACAGAAATGTAAGGCAGGGAAAGACAGGAAGCTTTCACAGGCATGTGCTTTAAATAGTCGTTAAATGAGGTTTCCATTTGGTTTGGCCTGAAGGCTTAACCCCCAACCCCTTGCAATGCAACATAGTAAGCCTTTCTTTTGTAAAGTGGGGTAAGGGTGGTTTTGGACACCGAGGCTTTAATTTTAGGAAAGGGTACTGTTGGAAGTTGAAGATCTGGACATCGATTCATTTAAAACTACCTGTGCTTGGATACACCTCTTGAAAAGTCTATGTGTCTCTGGGTTATGTGTACCCTAGTTTGAGGAGACCTTTGTCTTAGACTATCTTTCTGAAGTATCACAAACCAACTGAATGGCAGAAATTCTATACTGATGAAAGTTACAGAGCCCTTTAAGAATAGGTGTTCTGTGTTGTTGGTTGAAAGGCTGGCTCTTGTATTATGTGTGTAGTCAGCCGATAAAATGCTTACAGTGAGTTGAAAGAGCCTCCTGCCATATTAATCGTGGTCCCCCGTATATCTTAAGGTAAATTTGTTGTAGAAATTCCCTCAGGGAGAATTTGGAGCAAAGTCTTCCCTCATGAAACCACTTTGGTCGGGACAAGTACATGGACAGGTATATGGTGGGAATACTTGGTATATGGCAGAAATAATTTATTAAAAGACCAGAAACTATGGTAACTGGAGGTATTGGTCTATTTCTCGACCTTAGGCAGTAACAGATACCACAACTGTCATGGTTTTGCACTGTGATTATAATATCTGCATTTCTAATTTTTTAAGCATGTAGCCGGTAATAATTTGAAGATTTTTCTGTGAAAGCTTACCTTGTTAGCATTATTTTAGTGAATCGAGACTATTCACTTGTAAAGCTCCCTTTTCTCCATTTTAATTTACAAGTTCATGTCATTTAAAAACAGGTCAAGAAACTTAAATTTCTATCAGAGGTTTTTTCCCTAAAAAATACTTTGAAAGGATAAGAGTCACCAAATACCCACCTCTGCCTAACAGGAGGGAAATACAAATAACAATAAACATACTACTACTATTACTACTATAGCAGATATAAATGTTACTTCATGAACTTGAGTTTATGCTTTCTTGTAATTTAACTGAAATGAAATATTCCTCTAAGATTCTATTTTGTTTGACTTGTGGGAAATTCAATCTCAGTCTTTATTGGGCTCTCTTCACCTCCCCAGAGTCAAACAAGTGTCCAAAATGTTTACAGAAACAGGAGAGGGGCTTCAAGTCTTCAGGCCAGCACTGTTTTTGCACTACCCTCATCATCTGAGCTCACATAATTCCTAGAAGGGAGCAGATCTACTGTACCTGTCACAGGTGGGGTATCTACGGTCTGTGCTTGGGTGGGAACCCTGGTGCCTAGGGTCTCATGTCCTCATTCCTCCTGAGGCTCTGCCACTGGCCCCTGCTGCTCTTGGGATCCATAGACCTTTGGTCTTTTCCTCTCAATTTGGAGGAGTCTTCTCTCTCTTTTACTTCTTCCTTATAGAATTCCCCCAAGTTGCTCTGGCTTTGGGAAAACAGAAGCCAGGAAGGCAGCTGTCTACCAGTGACTTGAGCTCACAGCTTCTGCAAGGGAGTTTGCACCAAGAGGTCTGGACACCTGCTTAGAAAGAGGGCAGGAAAAATACTGAGGACAAAATCCAAAGGAATATCTCCATAAATGATTCTATGTTTACTACTACTATTAACAAGTGGTTAACATTATTGAGCAGTACCCTCTGCTCATATGGATTTTCTAATTGAATTCTCAAAACTTCACCATGTTTTAAAGACCAGGCAACTGAGGCTTGGAGAGCTTGAGTAACTTTCCCAGTAATAAGAAGCAGAGCCATGCTTAGAACCCAAGTCTGTTGGGCTCTGAAGTTCAACCCCTATGTTATATTTTCTCTCCTGCAGGGTATTTCATTTTGAGCACAGTGAGCTGCCAGGATGGGTTAGCTGCAGCATGAGCTCCCAATAGCTCAATGAATTCATCCATGGAATGCCACTGCTCAGAGTTCTCCATCTGGTTGTCAGAGTGCATTTGCCAAGACTCAAGAACAACAGTGCTGCTTTGGGTGTAATTAATGTTTAGACAATAACTGGGCAGCATGTTCAGCTGCTTCTTGAGGCCACTCCTGGGATATGAAAATAGGACCCTGTATTGGCATAAACAGTATGTTTGTTTTCTTTGTGCTGCCAGGAGGCCATTACCTCAGTCATGTAGAAGTTATACCGAATTGCTCAGGTGCAGGCTCCAAAAGGGGAAGGGTATGGCCTAGCCTAGTTTTGTGCTGTTTAAAATAGAAAATTGATGGATCTGAAACCCATTTCTATTAAATATGATTCTTGAGGTAGTATTTTAATAAAGTCCTAAAAGAACATTTGAAAAGTCTTAGATCAGTTTTTAAATTGTATTGTGTGGCCCATAAATAATTCCTATGTATGGAGTCCAAAGCCAATGCAGTACATAGTCATTATGGCCCTACCACCAGCCTCCCTTTCCTCCTCTGCCTCTGGGCAGGTTGGGTGATTCAAAGGCAGGCAGGGCCCTTTACTCAAGTTGTTCAAAAAGTGCTTCAGGGGTTTTCAAATGTTGTATGTATCAGAATTATCCCTGCAGCTTGTCCAAAACAGAGCTGCCTGGGCCCCACTCCAGACCCACTGAATCAAAACCTCAGGAAGTAGACTGGGCATCTTTGTGTTTAACCAGCTCCTTAAGTGATTCTGATACTCATCAAAGTTTTCGAGCCAGCCACATGGTTGACGCTGTTTTGGTAACATAAACTGCTATAGTAGAAACATCTTAGGAAGTATGTATAAGAGATATACAAGCACGTAAGTATGTATCTAGAGACTCATTAGCCTCTTACTTGCATGTATGTTGTTGAAATATACCTGCAGATAATATACATCTATTATTTTAAGTAATAATAAGCATTTGTTGAGGATCTATATGTTATCAGCCACTGTTAGTTCATTCAACAACTATTTTTAAGAGCCTGCTGGGGTGAGGTACTGTTCATCAGAAAATGAAACAAATAAAAGTCCCCACCCTCAGGGAGCTTACAGGGGAACACCAACAATAAAATTAAATAAGACAGGTATATGAGGACAAGTGCCATGGCAAAAGTAAGTTGGGGAGGGGGTCACTACTTGGAATAGGTGGCAGGGGAAGATTGAGGGAGGAGAGGGAGTGAGCCCTATGGGTATTTGGAGCACAGCTATTCCAGGTTTGGGGAACAAGAAGTCAAAGCCCTGACCGGAGGAGGAACATTCATGGTGTCTTCAGGAAACAGCACCAAGGCGGGGGACTGGGTCAGAGAGGCAATGAATAGGTAAAGGTATGGGCCTTGTAGAGGCCTGTAGGTCGCCGGAGGACTTTAGCTTTTATTCCGAGGGAGATGGAAAGTTTTCTGAGCCTGGGAATGACACAAACTGACAGGTTTGAATGGGCTGATTGTGGCCAATGAGAACAGGCAGTTGGGGGTGGGCAGGGCCGGAATCAGGAGACCAGTTAGGGAGCCACTGCAGAGATCCATGGGAGAGATGGTGAGTAGGCTGGGGTGGGAGCGGTGGTGGAGGGGAGAAGAACATGGATTCCAGGAGCACTTTGAAGGCAGAGCCTGCAGTTTTGCTGAAGGCTTGGATGCAGAGTGTGTGAAGCGACTGTAACAGGAGGTTTTCCAAGGATGCTGAGTGTGGCCGTTAGCTGTGCTTTCTCTGTGGCCAGATTTGGTTCTGGGTGAAGGCCATGATTTGGTTCTAAGCAAATGATCATGTTTTTGTTTTTAAAACACACATTGTACACTTAAAATTAGTGAATTTATTGTGTGTACATAATACCTTTGCAAAAATCTTTTTGCAAAGAGCAGTCAAGGTAGTTCTGTCTGGCTGCAGCAAGACCCTCACTGGGATCTTGGTAAACAGGGACTGCACCCACAATGACATTTCTTCCTGACATATAGGAAACCTTAGGAAAGCTGCCTTTGCCAGTCAAAAGACAGGATAGTGAATAATGTTTATTGTTCAGTTTATTTAAAAGTGCTTTTATATAAATCTTCAAAAAAATCCTTTCTAAGGCTGATAGTGAAGAATATTACTATTCCCATTTGAGGGTCCAGGATCCTGAGATCTAGAAAGGATAATAGAAGATGTGGGAAGGATGAACTCTGCTAGAACATACCTTCTATTTTATGACTTTCTCCTCTTGATTGTGTGACCTGATGTGTAGTGACCGGACTTCGATCCGGGCAACAGAATTGTGTGTGTGTGTGTGTGTGTGTGTGTGTATGCGTGTCACACTTGGGATACTAAATACAGCAATCTAGTAGAAGAATTGGAACTGATTGTTCAAACCTTCTATAATTCAGGCCTCTTGGTTCCTGTCCTTCTCTCTCTTGTCTCTGTTCATTCGGTCATTTTATTTCTGAATAGTAATTTTCACTGAAGGGTAGGATAGGAAGATAAAAAGATATGAAAGTCACATTAGGTAGTGTGGAGAATAATTTTAATAAAAGCCTCAGAGGAGAATGCAGTTGTAATTAGCACTAAAATGAAATTCTGAATTGCAGGTGGATTCAGCTTGCTTCACTCTCCCAATCCTTTGTTCCTGTGAAAAACTGAGTTTGATTATGCTACGCAACTAGCGTGGCTGTCTTCCTTTTGTCTTGCTGAAGAAGCCATGTCTGCACCAGGGCAGCTGTGAGCAAGGCCTGGGCCAGGTAACAGCATTTAATGCATTTGTCTGTTTTAGTTTGCAGCGATGATCTTACCCACAAATTCAAAGGGTTCACCGTGATGAATGAAGCAGAGAGATATGAAGCTCTCAGACACTGTCGCTATGTGGACGAAGTCATCAGAGATGCTCCATGGACCCTCACACCAGAGTTTCTGGAAAAACACAAGGTACTTCTCATTCTCCCACATTCTCTAAGTAGCAGGATTCGGGAGTCTGGTTCTGCAGCCGAGACCACAGAAAGCCCAAAGACTCTTGTAATTTCTAAGAGGTAACTTCAGGAACCGTCATGTGGCGTCACTTGATGTAGCACCTCTCTTCCTCCCAAGCCTGAGACTGGTATCCTTTCCCTTCCTTGAGTGTGGGCACTGGAGCTAGACCACCCAGGTCCAAATGCTGCCTCTATCTCTTTCTAACTGTGGGTGCTGGAGCAAGATATTTAACCACACTGTACTCACTTACCTTGACTGTAAAATGGGATGATACTGGTGTTTTTCTCGTGGAGCTGTTTTGAAGATCTAATGAGATGATCTAAGTAACACTGGCTGGCCCGTAGCAAGAGCGCTAAAAATTGTCATCACCATCACCACCATCATTATTGGTGCTTATATATTCACAAGCGTCTTTTTTTCATGGAACGAATAAGCACACGTTTTATCCAGAAGGTCATAGGTCAGCATTTAAGGAAAGAACTTTATATCTATGATTTTCTGATCCTGAGACTCCTACTGACATAAGATTTTTATTAGTTGAAAACATGAGAAATTCTTTTGATCTGCAGCAAATTATGTGCTTTGTATCTCCCCACCAGCCCCACATTAGGAGCTATTCTTTCCTTTTATAAGCAGTACAAAAAAATAAGATTAAGCTGTTCTAAGAATTTTCTTTTCTATTTTTAAATTCACAATGCAGAATAGAATAGAGAACACTGATAAATGTGTGTGGGTAATAGCAGAGGAGACAATTTCCCAGCAGGAATAAAAAGAAAAAGGGAAAACTACAATATGATTTACTTTCAGTAATCACTAACACATTTTTACTAAGCATCTATTGTATATTCAACATGTGCTAGGCATGATGGGGGATACTAATAATGATAATGATGGCTGCTATTTATTGAGTATTTACCAAGTGCCCAGCACTGTGCTAAGGGCTTTGCTACTATATGAATTGAATCCAGTCTTGTGGCTATCCTGAGAAGTTGTTGTTATTATGCATTGGAGTGGAGGAGGAAATAAGTTTGAATATTGAGAATAGAATTAATAATAATAAACATTTACTGAGTACTTTCTGTGTACCAGTTATTATTTTTAAGCACTTTTACATAATTATATTATTTAATCCAATGATTCTCACTGGGGGCAAGTTTGCCCCCAAGGGACATTTGGCAATTTCTGGAGACATTTTTGGTTGTCACAGTTGGAGAGATGCTACTGGCACCTAGTGAGTAAATGCAGGGATGCTGCTAAGCATCCTCCAATGCACAAGATAGCCCCTCGCGCCAAAGAATTATCCGTCTTGAATGTTGCCAGTACCAAGGTTGAGAAATCCTGATTGAATTCTTACCACCAGCTTATGAGTTATATAGCTAGTAAGTGGTGGGGCAGGAATCATATCCAGACAAATTAAACCACTACTCAAAAGTACCTCTCAAGGTGAAGTGAAGACTCATTATGAAGGGCTTTGAAAGCCAGGCAAGGAGTGCTTACTTAATGTCCTAGGAAACAGGGATGAAGATTAGCAGGCACAAGGATGACCAAAGGACATTCTGTTTAAGGGGGACACCCCATGCAACAGCAGGATGGCTTGTGGAGGAGAGAGCGTATAGTGAGGAAGGTCAGATACTACTTGGTATCAGTAATCTAGATGATAGGGCCATGGATTTGGTGTAGTAGCAATGGAGAGGAAGTGATGGGCTCATGCTTGTGTGCACACACACACACACACACACACACCAATGGGACCTGTGACCTATGTACTATGGAGAGTGAAGGAAGTAGGAAAAGAAGACTGACTCCAAAGTTTTGGGTCCAGGTAAACTGGGAAAATAGAGGTGCCATTGGAAGGGGGCACCAGTATTCAGGAAGATGAATTAAATTTAGGACAGGTTGATTTTAAAGTGACAGCAAGAAGTGGTAAAAGAGAAGAGGGCTGCAGTGGGAGTTAAGAAAGCCTGGCCTGGTTCCTGGCTGCCACCCCCATCTTCAAACCACTGACAAGCTGTGTGACTTTGGGCAAATCTAACAAGTTTTCTAGTTTCAGCACCTTATGTCCCAACTGAAGTAGTAGTATGTGTCCTACCCACCTCACAAGATGGCTATATGAGGGTCAAATGAGAAAAGTGACAAATTCATTTTCAGAATATAAAACTTGACCTAAATGAGGGCCTATTGTCATCAGTGGGAAAGGAAATGGAGATTTGGGTTCCTCATTATAGCAGGAGTAATTAAAATCTGAAAAATGAATGAGTTCTTTGAAGGAAAAAGTTTACAGGCAGAAGAACAGAAGGCCAAAAAAACCTACTGTCAGAGGTAGGAGAAGGAAGAGGGGCCAGCAAAGGAGAGAAACCAAACATTTATTCTTTAATTCCCATTGTCTCATGGAAATAGAGGCAGTTGGAAAGACCTTTCAGTCAATGATTCAGATCCACACTGTAAATGTAACATACAACTGCCTTATTTCAAAAAGGCATTTTAGAGGCACCAGTCCCCTTTAAATCTGCAGACATACACATCCAGCCCAGTGGTGATGTCACTCTTCTGTCTCTCCAACAGATTGACTTTGTGGCTCATGATGACATTCCATATTCTTCTGCTGGCTCTGATGATGTTTACAAGCATATAAAGGAAGCAGGTGAGGCATTCCCCCGTGCTCACCGGTCCACTGTGGCATACTAACCAGGTGTAATAAAAGACATCTGCCCCAGGATATCTGCAGTGTATACACACAGGGTGTTGGAACTTCAGGTGTTTCCCGAGCAGCTTCTACAAGCCTATGTTGATTTTTGCTAAGGCTCAGTATATGGTATATAAATTTAGGTATTTATATAGGAATTAACCTGAACACCACAGTACTCAACTTCAGGTCTGAGGCTCTATTTCAGGGTTCATCAGACTAAAATCACAGGACCCTATTTCTTAAAGGGCAGTCATTTTCTTCATTCACAATTAAGTCTTCACAATGAATTATTTCAGACTCCTAAGAAATTTCCTCCCAGAATAAGACAGATAACTGGCTAATTAATGATCTGGCTCCTTGTCTCCAAAGTAAGTCCTGCCATAATTCTAGTGTCAGTCTCTCATGTGATCATAATGTCCTCAGGTACCACATGTGGAGGGAAAAAAAAAAAAAGGATAAATGCTTAAATGGCTTGGCTCATTTTCTGCTATTTTACTATCTACCATGCCTCTTATCTACAGGCACTGTAGGTGCATCCACATGTACCTTTCTACATACTCATACGTTAAGCCATTATCTGGCATGGTACACATACTCCAGTTTAGTGAGTTACCATGTACTCAGGGATTTCAGGAAGTCTGATACACCCCACTTTATACTAGAGCTGCCCTATTGTTGACACTTGCTGTCAGAACCATCTTCCCCACTCCTGGGGACCACTGGAACTCCACTCAGCTTGCTCCCACCAGTCCCCACTCTCAGTCTACTGCTGCTACATACAGCCCTTTCCTGGCACTCATGAACCTTCAGACTCTTGAGGTAGGATGGGCTCCTAAGGGTCACTAACCCAGGCTCCTAGTTCCTCCTTAGCATCACTGCCAGCTTCTGGTAGAACTGATGCCTATACGTCTCCCGTGATGGGGAACTCCCTCCCTCCCAAAGCAGCCCATTCCATCTTTGGATGGTTTTGACTGTCATTGGTTAACCCATGAATTTTCTCAGTGCATTAGCAAGCCAGGAATTGTTTGAGGGAAAATGGGATACAAATATGAATACAATGTAGCCCTCACCCTTGAGAGAGAGCAGAGACAGACATAAATAATTACACCCAAATATAATAAGCCTGTGGTAGGGTATATATAGCAGGCTAGGTGGGACTGTATGAAGAAGCTTGGCATATTTGGAGAAAATAAAAATGTTAATGTAGTGTAGGGTGTGTAGAGGTGAGGACAGAGATGGAGACTGGCAGGATGGGTTGGTTTAGACTTAACTTCTGGCTGGCTGGTTAGCTCAATTGGTTAGAGCATGGTGCTAATAACACCAAGATCCAGGGTTTGATCCCTGACCAGCCAGCCACCAAAAAAAAAATTATATCTACTTCTGTATGTAACATGGAGCCAGATACTGCTTTGAGGCAAGGGAATTTCATGATCAGGTCTCTTGTAGGGGAAGGAGCAACTATGGGGCCAAAAGTATTTTCTGTAGCTGAATTTACTCAGGAGTCCCCATTTCCACAGTTGACAGAAAAAACATGCTTGACATTTGAAGTAATTCAGACTTTTCTAGGTTTGTCCTTAGACTGTGTGGAGTAAACTTTTTGCCTTTTTCTCCTGGGGTGATCTAAGTTTCTGGGGCCTATGTATTGGCCTGGCATGGGATGGGGATCTGATTCTTGCTGATCTTTAGTTGTGGGGTAGCAAGACCTGCTGCTCAGCTATTACCCTCACCTACCAGAGCCCTGTCACAGCCTGTGACACTCAGCTGCCTCCTCCATCTGCCAGCCACTTCCCTTTTTGCTCTGTCCTCACTACAGCCTGTGCTGCAAAGTACCCTTCCCTATGCTACAGGTGTGCCACCCCCAAGGCATGCTGATCTCAAATTTCGGCTACCTTCCATATTCCTCTAGAGAGTTCCCAGGAAATTGAAAAATGTCCTCCATAGTCTCCTGGAGGGCGAGGGGAACCAGGCAGTGGGAGGAGGCCATGTCAGGCCCCGTCTGACCTGCCTGCCGTGAGGAATGCTCAACCGAGGCCTCCCTGTGTTGGACTCTGTGAGATATTTCCTCCCTAGTGGTAAACAGGGTGCCAGCCCCGCAGCTTTGGCCTTTCTAAAAGGGTCTCATTCACTTGTTTAGGTGTAGGAACAGATCCAACATTTTTCTAACCCTAGCAATCTGGCGTCTCTATTGTTGCATAACAAAATGACTCCCAAAGTTAGTGACTTAAAAGAGCCACTTTATTTTCCTCATGATTTTGTGGGGTAGGATTTTAGCAGGGGCTTGGCTGGGTGGTTTTTGATTGAGGTCTCTTAAACAGTTGTAATCAGATGTTAGTGGGGGCCGCAGCCATCTGAAGGCTCAACTGGGCTGAGGCTCCCAGACAGTGTCCTTCTGTGGCAGGCATTGGATGCTGGCTGTCAGTAGGGAGCTCAGTTGCAGTTGTCACTGGGGCATCTACATGTGGCCTTTTCATGTTGGTTGGGCTTCTCACAGCATGGTGGCTGAGAAGGGAGTATGTAGAGAACAAGCAACCTCAACAGAAGCTGCAAGGCTTCTGATCTAGCCTTGGAAGTCACGCAGTGTCACTTACACCACATTCTATCAGGTACAAGCAAGTCACTGAGGCTAGCCTAGATTCAAAGGGAAGAAAATTGTGGCCGTCTTTAGTCCACCACAATTCCCTTCCCAAATTGAATAGTCAAGTGGTATTTTACTTGCCTTGGGAACTCAGGCATAAGACTATGTGTGGCTTTTCATATGCACAAGAACCCTTTCTCGTAGACCATTAATCTGCTCTGCTGATTCCTCACCAGGGGGGAGAGCCATGTAAAGATCTGTTTGGGGACCAGGTAGAGAAGGCCAGAGTTCATTGTGGGTGAAGGATGCTCAGAAATGGCCTGAGCATTCACGTTTGGCTTTTGTACTCTAATCATGGTTTATTTTGAAAGTCAAAAATCACTTTAAATGAAGCCAGAGATATCAAGGGCATGGATTAAGCTTTACAACACTCTGCTCTGCTTGTCAGAGCTACATGTCAAAATCCTCTAGCAAAGCTGGATGAAAAGAGGGAGCTTAAATTAAATAGACTGTAAGGTCCACATTACTCATCGTCATTCTAATATTGCCTACTACTGTTGAAAGTTTCCTTCATTAACATGTGCTTTGCTGCTTCTTAAAATAGCTCCATAACCAATGCTGCAGTTCTGAAAAGCATGATAAAAAAGGTCCTCTGATCATGCTCATTACTGAATATTTTTAGCAGAGCAATAATTAGGATTTGGAGGAAGCCGGGTGCCTCATTATGTCAGCAGAGGGCTTGGCTTCTTTCAGAGGCCTACCTCCCAACCAGCCACGGAAAATCTCTCCCCAACCCCAAATCTACTTTCCGTTTGTCAACCACAGAGACCTCACCCTCTGGCTTCTAAGAAAGGGTGACTTCATGTCACTAATGTCTAAATGAGTTGCTAAAATCCGTTAGTAGCTAGAGAATCTTCTTAACATTTCAGCAGGCAGGGGACTGCTGAAAGATGGAATAGATTTCTTACCAGAAAGCTCTCTGCTGCTCCCATCAAGGTGGGGATGTTGTCCCAGACTGCCTAGCTTGGGACCACTCAGGGTTTCCCCACCCACCAGAGCCCTCTGCACAGCTGGGGCAGCTTGGGTGCTATTTATGTTCATGCATTTGGATGTTTGCATCCTCTGCCTTCCATTTGGTTTTCTGTGTTTGATTTCATCCTCCTAGAAGGCGATAAAGGAAGTTTGTGGTCTAATGGCAAGCCCCAACTCAGTCCTCTGAGTCATGAAATATTAGAAACTGGATGCTTTGTTTCTAACATCAGCAGAGCCATACTGCTGCTGATACTGTGAATGTGCAGAGGATAGCAAAAGAAAATTCCAAAGGGACACCCTAGTTGGGGCTACAAGACTGAAAAATCCAGAGAGAACTAGATTTGGAAGGGTGCTTAGAGATCAGTATTCATCTCATTCATTGTCACCCAGTGCTGAGAACGTAGAAGAGAACAGGAAAGGTACAGTCCCTTCCCTCATGTAGCTTATAGTCAGGTGGGGAAGAAAGTTATTGAACAAGTTGTTTTATAAAGATCTTGCAGTATTTGAAGCAGTAGCCCATGGGAGAAAATAAGTATCAAATAGGAAGAAGTAGTCTAGGAGTTGAGAGATTTCCTCGAGGAGGTGACACTAAAGCTGAAACGCAATGGATGACCAAGAGTTAACCAGGTAGAGGTTGTGTTTGTGGCAGGGTGAGGGGAGAGGAGCCAGCATTTTAAGGACATTGAAGAAATCTAGTGTGGCTGGGCTGAGGCAGGGTCAGCCTGTTGCCCAGCTCCATAGAATATAAGAATGGTCACTCCCACCATCCCCTGCAGTTGTGCAGCACAGAGGCCTTGGTTTAGGGAGTAAAAGGGAGAGAATCTGAGATGAGGCTGGAGAGAAGCACAGGGAAGAGATCACGCGAGCTGCTGCAGAGCCAAGTTAAGGATTTGACTCAATCCAGAGGACAGTAGAAAGTCAATGAAGGGTTTTCAGCAGGCATCTGACTTGCATTTAGAATGATCACTGTGTGGATATTGCTGTGTGGGTTGAGACAGACAAAATGACATTGCTGGAGACTGGTTTTGAGGCTCCTGCTGTAATCTTTGAATTAGATGGTGTTGGGTTGGTTTAGGATAAAGGATAGAGAAAAGTGTGTGAATTAGGGAAACATTTAAGAAGTATGTTGGTGATTGGAAATTGATTGGATGTGGGGAGTGAGGGAGAGGAAACATGGCACAGATGAGTCCCAGGTCATCTTGTCTAGCCACCTCACTTCTCAGCAGAGGTGACCAAGGTCAAGTAACTTGCCTTCAGAGGGTTTGAGTGACTTGCCCAAGTCTGCAACTGAAAACCCAGTGCTGTTGTCCCCAGGTTCTATCCATGAGGCCTGATGTCTCTGACTGTGTGGCCATAATGATATTGGGTAGAAAGATCTCAGTTGCCAACAAACACATCATTTCAGTTGACAACGGAAGTGTGAGCATAAACCCAATTCTTGTCTTTGTTAATATTTCTAACCTCTTTATAGCCCTGTATTGGTAGGTACACCCAAATATATCTTTGATGACTTTAAGCAAGTTCTATCAGAACTTGGCATCCTGTGTGCTTGTTTATTTTTACTCAGTCCCACGTATTCCACATGAAAGGGCCTTTGAGTGGTGAAACCACCATGCAGAGTAGACTGTTCTAAGGGAGATAAAATCATCTAGCACCCCCGTCGGCATGTCTTTTGATCAGAGACAACAAAAATAGTACACTATTTCTTCTTTTCCTTCAGTATAATGTGACGCAGACTTCCTTGGGGAATAAGGGGAGTTGCTGTGATCTGACTAATTCTCGACTCAGTTATTCTTCATTCACTTACTCATTCAATTTACATCTGTTGAGCACCTTCCATGTGCTAGAGACAGGGGCACAGAACTGGGTGCTGGGGATGCAAAGACAATTAAGGCATAATCTGTGCTTTCAAACTATTCACTTTCTACATGGAGATAGATATTAAAAATACCTTTGTTAATGGAAGACAAGTTTATGTCCTGATGTTGTGGATTCTGCCCAGTGGTATCAGAAAAGACTTCCTATTGGCATAACCATGAAGCTGTACCTTGCGGGATGAGGAGGAATTCTACAGTTGATGTGGTTTGGGAAGGGGTATCCAGGGCAGAAAGGAAGAGCTCAGCATGAGCCATGCGAGTGCTTGGTGCAGCCTGGGACAGGTCCGCGATGATGAACATGCAGTGTTTGCGGTAGGGAGGAAGTGTATGAAGCTGAGGCTGGAAGAGTTGGCTGGGCCAGAGGTGAAGGCCTCACTGGCACATCTGGGAGCTCCAACTTTGTCCTGGAAAGGAGAGCCATTAAAGGAAATGGGTCAACCAAGTGATCTTAACTTTCCTCTCTATCTTTTTTTTCCTTCTTGGACAGGAATGTTTGTTCCAACACAAAGAACAGAAGGTATCTCAACATCAGACATCATCACCAGAATTGTCCGTGACTATGATGTTTATGCCAGACGCAACCTCCAGAGAGGGTACACAGCCAAGGAACTGAATGTCAGCTTTATAAACGTAAGCATGCCACCCCACACCCTCTGAGGACCACCATGTCCCACTACCACTACCACCACTGCTGTTGTTTATTGAGCACTTTGTGCTGTGCAGTGTTCTTAATGCTTTGCGTTTATCATTTCATTTAATGCACACAACAACTCAATGATGTATTATTATCCCCATTTTACAGATGAGGAACCCAAAGTCCAAAGGGGTAACATAAGTTAACCAAAGAACACAGGTAGTGAGCTGCGCACTTTATAAAGGAACTTCCTCATTTCGCTCCCTTTGCCCCAACCTCCCTCTTTAGGGTTTTAAGACTTGGTAGAAGGGTTTCTGGAAGATCTGCCCCTTGTAAGAGGCAAGAGTTGTCTTCTGCTCAAAGGGAAGGAAGGAGGGCAGTGGCAATGAAAAGCTAAACCCAGAGAAAATGCTTTCTTGTTTCAACGTTTTTAAATTTTCATTTTATTAAGGCCTTACAGATGCTCATTAGAAACCTTAACAGCCGTTTTTTATTGTCCAGAGAAATTACAGCTGCTTAAATAAAGACTAAAGTCTTTGGCTTCCTTTTGTATTTCTACTGTATTGTTCCCACAGAGCTGCTGTTAGTTTAATAATAGAGCAACTGTTAAAACAATCTTTAAAACAAGCAAAACAAGCTGTTTAAAAGCAAAAAGGGCAGCCCAGTTGCTGGAGGTGATGTTAGTGAGTCTGGACAACTGTATTTGCCTGGCCTCCGAGGATTAATCTTTGATTAAAGTGAGAACTCTCCATACATACAGAATTCCAATCCCCCCAAAACATACTGTATTTTCAAAGGGTGATTTGTCTATAAAACTAGGTACTTATAATTATGTGCAGCCATAATTATCCAGCAGCTTACACAATTTATCTTTGGTACCTTCAAAATAGGTGGACTTCATTAATTGTAAATCAGTGGTTATTAATTGTCCTCACAAGGCAGGGAGTGTTGAGTCCAGGCTCTGTAACTTCATCTAAGCTGGGCAACAAAACAGAAAGTGTGGGGTTCAAGCGGCACCAGAACAAATGGCTAAAAAGAATTTGGTCAAAGTGATTATTTGGTATCTTATAGAGAATAAAGCCCTGGTTATTTCAATCAGTAAAACTGTGTTCTTATCAATTGAATTCAGTCAACCATCCAAGCATGTCGAGCCATTTCCAAAAGTTATTGCTCACTCTCTTTAAGCGGCCTTTAGATAAGCCACTTAGCTCAAGGAACCATGCAGACAGTGTGGATACACTTGCTGCCTTCCTGTGACGACAAACCTGGCTGCAGTTCAGAGATGAAATCAAATGCATTGGATGGGCTTGTAGATGAATCATAAAACTTCAGAAGTGGCAGGGACCTGACGGGGGTCAGTCACCCAGGCCAAGTCTCTCGATTTACAGATGAGGAAAGCTGAGCCCAGAAAGGGCCAAGGTCCCTGAGTAAAGGAGAGATGGAGGTAGTAACAGCCTCTGAGATACGAAATATGAAAATTATGAAATATGAAATGAACTTTAGTCCCACATAATAAAGAAAAACGATAAGCCTTATTACTCCATTAGGAGAAAACATACAATTTCATGGGGGAAGACCCTTTGTCTGATGGTTCTATTTCATGGTTTTGATACCACTCTCATCAGGTAACACAGATAAATGCCTGTGCCACTTAATACTAAAGAAACAGCCAACACACATGAACATTTGCTAAATGCCAAGCTTTGTGCCTAGCACTTACATGCATTATCTTATCTAATTGTCATAGGAACCCTATGAGGTAGGGATGATTATTATCCCCATTTTACAGGAAATTGAGGAAATTGAGGTTTAGAGGTGCCTTGCCCAACATACGATGACTTGTCCAAGATATGATGGCTTCCAGGCACACAGCAATGCTGCAGAAAGGCTGTAAGAAGAACAAAATTCAAGTCCAGAGAAGCTGTCAGAACAAAAGCTTTCTTTGTCACAAAGGAAATTAATGCAGTTCACAGCTAGCCACCAAAAAATAAAAAAAATAAATGCAGTTCAGTTCACTTAGTGGAAAATATTATTACCATGAAAAGTTTAGTATAACACATGGGTTTTAAGGTCCAGTCAATGACCCACTTATTTCAAGCAATATTAATTTTAACAATGTCCCTGTGAAACAGAGAACTCAGGTAGCCTCTGAGTGGCCATTCTGTGCACAATTTATGTTTTTGTCTAAGTCCCAGTATAATAGAATGGGTTATTTGCCCAATAGCTACCCATAATAAAAAGATAAACTATACATTTTTTCATATATAGTGAATTCAAGTCATAGACGTTTATTTATTTATTTGTTTATTTTTTTAAATTTTATTTTGTCGGTATACAATGTGGTTGATTATTGTGGCCCATTACCGAAACCTCCCTCCCTCCTCCCTCTCCCCCTCCCCCTCCCACCCAACAATGTCCTTTCTGTTTGCCTGTCGTATCAACTTCAAGGAATTGTAGTTGTTATATCTTCTTCCCCCCGCCCAGGTTTTTTTTTTTGTGTGTGTGCGTGTGTGTGTGTGAATTTATTTATTTATTTTTAGCTCCCACCAATAAGTG